GGGGGGGGGGGGGGTGTGGTTTGAAGGACTCACTTCAGTTTCTTTGAGTATGGCATGCAAAGGAATTCGGATTATGAAGAGATGAATTATGAATTTAGATATTTTGAATTTAAATTTTAGTAATTTTTATGGATCAAGTCATAAAAAATTTATTTTTTATTAATACCCTCGTTCCGACGTAGATGGTTTACCTTTGACTGAATCGAAAAAGAGAGTAGACGAGATACGCATAAGTTGATTCAAACACTCTGACCGTTGAATTAAAAAAACAAACAAAAGTATTTAACCGATAAAACCTAACTCGCCTTCAATAGAATTTTGAATGGTTCAAATTTGTTTGTGTTAAAAAATTGAACCGAATATAATCAAATTTCTATTTTTTACTTTAATATTCATGTTGAGTTCAAACAATATTTCTATTGGATTGCAAACTCGAGCTTGATTTGTTAAAAGGTAATACCTAAATTTTGTTTTTATTATCAAATAAAGGGTTATGTGTGAGGTCTTAAAACAGCGATGTGATTGATGTGCATGTAATCACTCATCTCACTTGCATCGTTCTAACCCTCTCCTAGAAATAGTCCTAAGAAATTGACAAAGTTTGGTAATTGAGGGGAGCATGTGCTATTAAACCAAACACAAGGTACAAAAGGTAATTATCTTACTTCTTATCGAAAGCCGGCAATCACAAGTTGGCTCTAGAACAGCCTCAGCCGCCTCTCGAAACCAGACTCTGCGACCACAGCCAACGCGCTCCACACGCGTACCAGAGAGAGAGAGAGAAAGAAATATACGATCATCTGGTGCCATCGTGATTGACTTCAAACGAAAGAACCCGCCAAGGAGCATATGTTATCATGGCTGCTCTCTTCCACATAAAACAATAGACGAAACAACGCACAAAATATTCAGATCGACGTACCTCTCTTTCTATTTCTCTTTCGCTCTCTTTGTGGATCCATTGTATTGGGTTGAGATCTGTTTGCAGAGCCGGGCGACCTATTTGGAAGAAATCATTATCATAATTAGGGTTTTGCAGAGATGGGTTCTAATGATAAAGATCAGAAGCAAGGCGGTGGTGGGTTCTTCGCATCCATCGCTACAAGCTTGTCTAATTTCGGCAGTGCAATGTCCAAATCAGTTAACGGGTATATCCACATGACATAATTTTGATATTTTTTAGCTTTGCCAATTAAGTTTCTTGCTGGTTTCAAGCTTTAACTCAGTTGATTTGTCGTTAATTCGACATTACGTATCTGTCTCTCTCTCTCTATATGTGGAGGGAAGGGTGGGAGATCGAATGGAAATTGTAATTTTAAATAATTTAATTGTGCCTATTTACACAACATTCCAATTACCCACCAAATTGTGGAGAATAAGGGAACTATGTGGGTAATTTGAAGATGCAAAAAGATGATACAGTGTGAGATAGAGCATTTGCAATCTATCGTGTGTTCTTGAAATTTTATCTCTAGGTATTGCTCTTCTTTCCACTGTAACAAAAAAAGAAGAAGAAAAGAAACCGGTGATAGCCAGGTAAAAGAGACATGAAATAGAAAAAGCAAACAAAGATGTGATTTTAACATCAATTTCAGTTTAGGTGCTTTGTTGAAGTTCTAAGCGGAGAACTAAATTGTTAATTTGTTATGGTTTCTGCTTCGATTTTGAACTTCTGGGCAAAAGTTTAACTCGATGCTCATACATGTGGATGTTTGAGTTGCACATTAATTTTCCAATTCTCTTGCTATTAACATGATCTTCGTTTGTCGTGTTTATCGGCTAACTTTGTAGTGCACAGCGCACTTCAAAATATGTGCCAAATACAGATAGCTCAAGCCATTATGCTTTCTGTAAGAATGCTAATGGACGATTTTGTTATCTCTGCTTCCCTTTAGAATGCATAACCATTATGGCTTAGTGGAACCTTATTTTCTGACGATTATTTGCTGTTTTTGTTATATTGTTTCATGAGATAATGACTTTTTTTTTTAAGTTGAGTGTAGTGGTGATAACATTTTATCATTATGTTGGTGCCTTGTTTTATGTATCATATTGACTGCCTAAAATGTTGCTTCTTTGTTTTACGTGAACTTGATTAGTGTCTTTCTCTTTGTACGTGCATATTAGCTTTTTGCTTTATTGATTGAAATTTACAATTTACATGTTTTGCCTCCTTGTTGCTACTGTTTCATCCATGACCCTGTTTGTGCCTAGTCATGTATGGCAGTGCTGGTCTTTTTCTTCTGCTGATTGATGCCAAAGTTCTGTTGTCATGGTTTGTTTATGATTTGCCATGTTTTTGTTGTATACTTATTAGTTTCATGTGCTGAACAATTAGTTTTTACCAAGCTACTTGTGTTTCCCTTTAGTTTGATTGGTTATGAAGGACTGGAAGTTATCAATCCTGAAGGAGGCACTGAAGATGCCGAGACAGAAGCGCAAAAAGGAAGATGGAGGCAAGAGGTACAAAAACATTTCTCTTCTCCTCCTTTCACATTATTTTGCTGATATATATGGGTTTTGGAATAGTTTAGTGGCTTAGGAATGTACAAAGAATTCAAGAGTGCGTTCATGATACGTGTTGTAATGGGCAATACCTATAGATTGTTGAGTATTTCTGTTCTCTCTCTGACACACACACTATGTATATGTAGTATATAAAAAAAAGAGCAGCTCTGTCCTCCCCCAACCCCCAACAAACTTACTCACAAGAAAGAAAAGAAGACTCAGTTTAGTTCTCATTAATGGGGATCTGGGAGAGACAGAAAAATAGATCCACACACAAATACAAGTGTGGAAACATATGAACAAAATACAAATAACAAAAGGTTGGTTTGGTACATGCAACTGAGAACATTACTTGGCACACATCAAGCTGGGAGACTTTATTTTCTACCTATTTTGTAATACTTCGTCACATTCTCATTATTGGTTTTCTGTTTTGCAGGATCGGGACACTTATTGGAAGATGATGCATAAGTATATAGGCTCTGATGTCACATCAATGGTGACACTCCCAGTTCTCATTTTTGAGCCTATGACAATGGTTCAGAAAATGGCAGAGGTATGTGTTATTTACTGCTCAGTGATGTCTTATGTTATATTCGTTGCTGTTCTGCATGATAATAATTCCAAGATGTGCATTTCTTTGTCACAGCTGATGGAGTATTCGTACCTGTTAGATCTTGCAGATGAATGTGAGGATCCACACATGCGATTGGTGTATGCTGGTGAGAATTCCTCTGCTTCTCTCTCTCTCTCTCTTCATGCATGGTCTCATGTGAAACTAACACTTGTCCATTGCAGCATCCTGGTTTATATCTGTATATTATGCCCTCCAGCGAACCTGGAAGCCATTTAACCCAATTCTTGGTGAAACTTATGAAATGGTCAATCATGGCGGCATTACATTTATTTCAGAACAGGTATTTTTTTGAAGGATCATGTTTGTGACATGATATTATTTATCTTGTATACGCTAGTGCTTTTAGGGTTTGATAGTTAGGAGTCTTATGAGTTACGACTCTAAGCAAGTTGCAATTTCGTAACTCATAAGCAAGTTGCCATTATTTTCTGTTACATGATTATAGGAATGGAATCTAAGCCTTAAGTTGTTTTATTACAATAGACACATCCCATATTCTCAGTTCTTGTATCTTGTGGTTTCTATGATATTGTGGTATTTTCTTGTGCCATTTTTGACAAATTATCTTTATATCAGGTTAGTCATCATCCTCCAATGGGTGCAGCACATGCTGAAAATGACCATTTTGTTTATGACATAACTTCAAAGTTGAAGACCAAATTTTTGGGAAACTCTCTGGATATCTATCCTGTTGGGAGGTATAAATTGCATCCTAGTTTTTCACTCTAAGTGGCATGTTGGTTTTCTAGAATGTTGATCATTTTTACCCCTTGAGAGATTTTATGAGAATATTTTCGGTGTCTGTCTTGCTTAATGTATTGTTGATTCCCTGGCATATGTTTACACTTGTATGAATTTTTGGTGAGATTTTTTTTTGTTAACAAAGTGTTAAAAATAAAATTTTCCTAAGACAGCATATAGCAACCTAAGAAACGGGTAACGGAATAGATTTTTTGTCATTCTTCTTGCTGGGGCTTTGCATATGTTTGTGGTTTCTATGACTAAGAGAACTGGTCTCATCAGAGATCTGAGGGGTCAGGATATTGTCTGGATGGATATGCTGCAATTGATCCCTGACTATCTAGTTTGGCGATCTTCAGCAGTTCAGTTCTCTACAACATTGGTGGCTTACTGAATTTAATCAATTAGTTGTGTTTCAGAAAAGTTTAGAGCTGATAACTGTGGGTACTGGTATAGAACATAGACATCCACTCAAGATGATCTTACATAAGCTGCTTGAAAGCTTGTTTACTATGTAGGAGTTTTTGGAAGCTGAAGTACCTACTTTAGCTTTAGTTTTTTCAATTGAAGCAATATAAAAAAGAAGTCATGCATCTGTAGAGGTGCTCTTATTAGAGGTGTAACTCTAAGTATATAATCTTCTACTTTAATCTTAGAGGTCAACCCTAGTCCAACTCTAAGTATATAATCTTAAACTTTAACTTTAATCCTAACCCTAATCCTAATCCCTACCTCAACCCCAGATACTCAGCCCGAGTACTGTCCGGATTGAATTCGGGTTATTTAATTTGGGCTATTTCGAGTTAAAAATCAGGTTAAGCTCGGGTAACTTAATTCGGGTTGATAAAAAAGAGAGGAGTGACGAGTGAGAGAGGGAGACTAAGAGTCTGAGACTAGATGAGAGACGAGTAACGAGTGAGAGAGGGATTTGAGAGTGATGGAGGCGCAGTGGTGAAGACTTGAAGTGAAGTGAAGTTTGGACTCTGAAGAGTGAAGATAAATACTAAATCTAGTTAAATATATTTATATATTTATGTATATTCGGGTCGAACTCCGAAAACTCGAGGCCTCAACTCGAGGTTTGCCCGAATTCAAATTGGGTTGGAGGTTTTTTGCCCAGGCTCAACCCAAGTATTAAAAATTTTAACCCAATCTCTATTTTTTTCAGGTTGGGTTCTGGTTGACTTGCCCAAGTTGCACCCCTAGCTCTTATGCACTAAGAGAGTCCAAACCCTTCCTATTTTTCTTATACTTCTTCCTCCTCTCCTCCCTCCTCCTCCTACCCTTCTTCTTTATTTTGTTTTTTTAAGGAACTGAGGTTTCATTAAATTGTCAAAGCCATCCGAGTCCAAACCCTTCCTAGTTTTTTTCTACTCCTCCCTCCTCCTTCCACTCTTCTTCTTTATTTTGTTCTTTCAAGGAACTGAGGTATCATTTAATTGTCAAAACCATCTTTTGAATTTTTGTTGGATACTTTTCTCTGCACGTTTTTTTGGTTGTCCTTTTGTAGTTAGTTGATTTACTGTTTGATCATTCTTTTGCCAAGCATCATCTCTTAGTGAAATATGAAAAAAGTTTGATGAATTATGTATTTGCAACTAACTTATTATACAATTTTTTGTGCAGAACGAGGCTTACCCTCAAAAAGGATGGCGTAGTCCTAGATTTAGTACCTCCTCCCTCAAAAGTGAACAACTTGATATTTGGACGAACTTGGGTTGATTCACCAGGGGAGATGATCTTGACAAACTTGACCACAGGGGACAAAGTTGTGCTGTATTTTCAGCCTTGTGGCTGGTTTGGGTATGAGCCTATGACTATCAGCTGTCTTTTTTGGCTTTGCTTGTATTTGATGGCATCTTTGAGAAATACATATTGGCTGCTTTTGACTTCAGTCTGTGCTTGGAAAATTTTCAAATAATGCGAGGATGCAAATTTACCAAACATTTCTTGTTTTCTTTCTTCACCTCATTTGTGTGTTGTGTCTATGTTTAATGTACCCAATTGCCCCATTTGATATCCCTAAGTGATGCTGGACCAAACTCGTGTTGTGTTGACTTAGGTTGAGTAAAAAAAATAGGTTTATTGATGAAAGCTTGGTGGTAGGGTTTAGGGTTCACAAATGACTGTGTTCAGTTTGGTTAAGAAAATGAGAGTAGCATTATTCTTAGAGAGCAAGTTGCCAGAAATTCTTGACAGCAATTATGTCAGTGTTCGGAGGATGAATAATAGGTCAAAGTGCAGGGGCATGGTTGGAGGTTGACTGGAGCAGGATGCGGTGGAATTTGGGTACTGAAACACTTTGTAGGTTGTAAACAGTAGCCCTTGAACAGTCAATTGGGGGGAAAGTGTGTCTTAAGATGAGAGGTGAAGACCGTTCCAAGGGATCGGCCAAATTCCCAAAAACAATTCTCAAGAGTTCATCTTCTTAATTCAACCTCTTGAAACAAGTGATTACAACTAATTTTTTTGTTCATTTATGTTTAAGCTAATAAGATGGGAAGGCTACTGATGTAACAGCCCTCCCTTTTTTTCTTTGTCCTCTTTTTTTGCTGCTCCTATCATTTCAACCACTTTTCAGTTCTCATTTTTTCCGAGCCCCCACATTCTTCAGAACAAGTCCACGAGCAATTAACTATGTTTTGTTTGTATACAGCCAATCCTTGCACGCCCCATATCCAAAGTCCAAACCTTACTCCCCCACACATACTACTCACTTTTTCTCTCACATCCAGACCCATGGGTCATCCATGACCCATTTCGAGCAACTATTGAAATTACATGCTAAGAACCTACTAAAACATTAGTAGAGATATGTTCTCCACTTATAATCCTAAAATAAGACTCCACATACTATTAAAACATTAATAGATTATGTTCTTAACTTATAATCCTAAAACAAGACTCCACATAATTCTCTACTTTATCACAGTTTTCCAAATTGAGATCCGTGTGAGATTCCTGGAATTTCCATTCTCTTGTTAATAAGCCTTGCATCAACAAGAGGCTAGATGTTTGTAGTGATGCTGGGAAGAGTTTCAGCTGGGATTTTCTTTAGGCGGCGCCCCCCCCTTTTTTCTTTTTTTTTCTAAAGTTGGAGCTAATATTGTCAGTACTACTGGATTGTCTGACAAATGCTTGTTGAACATTATTTCTTGGTGGTGAAGGTTGTTTTCTGTATAGTATGTCAACTAATAAAATTTAGAATAAATTGTTGATTTTGTGGGCTAAGCTAAAAACACCATACCATATTTATCCTTGCTATTGTTTATCTTGACTCATCCATCTCTTTGTTTTCATATTTATGATACATGTGTTTGGTTGCAGGGCTGGTCGCTATGAAGTGGATGGATATGTATATAATTCAGCTGAAGAACCCAAAATATTGATGACTGGGAAATGGAATGAGTCATTGAGCTATCAACTTTGTGACCTGGAAGGGGAACCCCTCTCAGGCGCTGAACTGAAAGAGGTTAGCTCCAGCAGCTTTCCTTGAACGTTCCCCCTGCCCCCACCTTACCTATTCTTTTTGCTTCTGATTTCAAAATAAAGTAATAGCGAAAAAGAAACTTCAATATGATTTCTACATTCAGTCTATAAGGAGATTGAGAGGCATTTGCCTCCTTTTGGATGGAATTGATTGCTGTGCAGAAACATGTCATGTTATTGTTGGAGAAACATTCATATCTTTCTTTATTAGGTACAACCTGTTGGGAATCTGGAAAACATCCATGTAATTAATATGTTTAGCCAATCATGGTTTATAATTTTATTACTGAACTTACAGAATTTTATGAAATCTTACTGCATATGTTTAAGGTTTTCAACTGTATTTTCCATGATAATGGTAGGTTGCTGTGATTTGATGATTGGACTTGAGTTTCATTGCCATTATTAATTAGAGTACATATTAGCTTGACTAAAGTCCTTTCTAGGGAAAGAATGTATATCTACAGACTACGAATGACATGCAATTATGAAGTATCAAAAATCACCTTTGTTGGACATACTTAAAGCAAATAAACTTGTTCCTCAAACTTCAAAAGATCATAATGAAGACCTACAATTGCTTCAATAATGCTTCCATTATAATTAGGTAGCTGTAGTTCAAACTTAGTTGAACAATTCCTTTATGAATTACTCTCCCTGACAATTTCTCTGATGATGCTGCTCTGCAGGTTTGGAGAGTTGCTGATTTTCCCAAAAATGATAAGTTCCAGTATACATATTTCGCACATAAGATAAACAGCTTTGACACAGCACCTAAGAAGTTGTTGGCATCAGATTCTCGTTTGCGTCCAGATAGATATGCACTTGAGAAGGGTGACCTATCAAAAGCTAGTTCAGAAAAGAGCAGGTCTTTCTTCTGTCCTGCGTGTGTGTGTGGGTGGGTGGAATTTAGCAGCAAAACAATAAACTTCTGTAGAAACAGTCTTTATTTTGTTGGGAATTAACCAGGCCATCCCATCCCATCCCATCCCATCAGGATTAGAAGATTGGGACATCCATACAGCCACGTGGGCTACTATAAATTGCATCTTAGGCAGTGTTTTAAAACCCGGCCTAGCCTGGCAGGTTGACCTGGAAACCCGGTGAAATGGACCTTAAATTGGGCCAGTTCGTCATTTAGATCATTCAAGCATCTAACCCACCCGAGACCCATTGACCGGGCAGTTTTTAGCTGGACTGTGCAAACCGTCCGTTCTTATGATAATTGTCCGGGTCATTTAAAGCCCTATAAAATCAGATCTATTTGGGTCTTTTTGCCCTAATCAACTCAACAGCCTACATAGACCAAAAAAAAAAAACTCAACAGCTTACTTGATCTCCATTCTCAGATTCTCAGCTCACACTCCCCCTTCTCTCTCTCTCACTTCTACACCACTAGATCATCTCAGCAGCGGTCACCACTTCCATCGTCATTCGACAATCTATTCGTGCTTCGTGGTTGCCTCCTCATCCTTCCCTCTGGTTTCGTTGGCTTGAATCAAAGTGGTTGCCTCCACCTCTAGATCATCTCAGCAGCAGCATCTTAGCGCAGCATGTATCTCTCCTCGTCTCATGCTCTCATGGTCTCACCATCATAATCTCAGCCCTCAAGTTTGATATTGCCTCTCTCTCTCTCTCTCTATATATATATATATATATATATTTGATCATTAAAAAAAAAATAGATTTATGAGGTTTGTAAGGTTGAATCTAGAAGTTTGGTATTGAATCATCCAAATTGAATATTGATAGTGTGAAATGTGATTGTGAGTTTTCAATTTGGAATTTAACTAAATTCTTTGGTCTGAATTTTTGGGTTTTTGTTTGATCTAACATATATTAAAGTGATTATTTTTATACTTGCTATATATTTTACCATATTTATTATAGTTAGTAATTATTTTTATTTTTTTATTATATGACCGGTTTGACCAGTGACCCAGTGGTTGAACCAGTGAGTGACCCGGTCCTTTTGTCGGATTGATGACCGGGCCGAGTTTTAAAAACTATGATCATTGGCTTTTAGCAGGCTTTGAAGTTTAATATGACTGAAAAGATTCCAATACCACCCATTTGTATGCCTGCTGCTTCAAGATAATTTGACACTTTGGATGGAGCACCTTGAGTATATTACCTTCTAGCTTGATTCTTATTTGAGAGATGGAGGTTAAAATTTCCAACTACACACTGCTTTAATGGAAAGAGACTCGTACAAAACACAGGACTTGGCACAAAATGGAATTTTATTACCCATGAAGTGGGGTTCTCACTAGATTGCTAGATGATTACCTGTGGTTTTTTATGACCTTACTTGGAATATATGGATCTGAATTATTTATTCTCGGTTTCCCAAACTAAAAGCTATTATTACACAGTATGGATGAGCGAATAGCAATTAACACTTGTTCTTTTCCTTTTCAGTCTGGAGGAGAGGCAGAGAGCTGAAAAGAGAATGAGAGAGGCCAAAGGTCATCAATATACTCCGAAATGGTTTGACCTATCTTCTGAAATCGCTCCAACACCATGGGGTGACTTAGAAGTGTACAAATACAATGGCAAGTATGCTGAACATCGGGCTGCTGTGGATAATTCCGACAGCATCGAAGAGGTCGACATCAGATCAACAGAGTTCAACCCCTGGCACTATGGAAATTTGGCTGCAGAATGAGTTGCATAGACATATAGATGTGTTTGCCTGCATCATTTTGTCTCGTCTATTTTTTCTTTTTCTTTTTTTGTACTTTGTGTTCTTTTCATTTTGTTGGCCATGATTGTATTCTTATTTAGGATGAGTAACAAAATCATATTAAGATTCAAATGACTTAGCTCACATGACATTTAATTCTATAATTTTAGTATTTGATTTGAGTTTGCGATCCTGAAATCGAGTGCTGTAACATTTTTTTACTAAGAAAAGAAAAAGCCAACTATTGTATGGAGATTATCAGCAACCCTTTAAACACAAACTGGGCAAGATATAAACTGCCCGACTGCCCCATTTCTTTTTGTCGTAGCCTAAAGATCTATGAATATCTCATGCTTGACTAGCCAAGCAGATGAACAACTAGCATTCTTCTACATGTTACATTTCTTTTCTTTTATGAATATTTCACGTTTATGATGAAATTTATGAAAATTGATCCGTTGTTTTTTATTCCTTATTCTGCATAAAAATATCTTGCCTGATTCACTAGAAGAGACTGAACTCTGGTATTTTAAAAACGCTTTAGAAGGTATCTTTGAAGTAGATGGCGATGTAGAGTATCTAATTGCTAGGGCTTTCAATATTCCATTTACTTCTTCACCTGGCCTGGTTAGGGCAGTTTTTCAATGCCAAAAAATGCAACTTTACAGATGTGGAGCAGATTTGGAGTTTTTCATAATTACAAACAGGCGATATTTAGGGTGTGAAGTTGTCGATATGCCAAGATTATGAGGTTTTTGAGGCCCTCTGTGTTCATAGTATTTCCTGCCATGGTAATTATGCAGATATTTTGTGGTCGAATCTTAGAATGAGGTATATACAATTTTATGGTTTATTCAATGTGTTTGGTTAACTGGTGATTGCATATATCGAAGTCATGTTGTGACTATGAGTTTAATAAAAGAGTTCAAAAGATACGAGATTGAGATGAATCTCAATTTTCTAAACAAATATCATTGGTTCTTGATGGAGCAAAAAATTGAGAAGCCTGAGGTGATTGAGCAGAATGGACTAAGAGTGAGGTGTGCCAAGTGTGAGAACTGAAATGGGTAAAGAATGTTCAAGAATTTGAGTGGTTCATCTAGCAGAATAGTTAGGTTAGTACACTGTAATTGAAACTCTTGTTTCTTAGTTGTGTATTACTTGAAGAAGAAGAAGATGAGTATAGAGTACTTAATTGTCTTTTGAACCATTGTATTGGTTCTCTATTTGTACACTAATAATAATCATTGTAATTTTCAACCGGTAAATATTTGATAAATATTTGACTGCTAGAGACCCTTCTTCCGAGGTGCCGCATGGACTTCGAGAAATGATGACTTGATTTTCCAAAAATATATTTTTCTTGTTGTGATTTGAGTGTTGTTGAATTCATTTTGGGTCTTGTTCAATTCTTTCGGAATTTTCCTGTTCAACCCAACTTCCGTCGAGCTGAACCATTCTCTTGGTGTTGAAAAAATGGGCTTATGACTTATATTTAATGGATGATTCTAACCACTGCAAGTGATGTAACACAATTTTAGCATTGTTCTATTTTTAACGGGTATCTTCAAGTTTAAAGTCTCCACTAATGTCACGTCCTATGTTTGTGTTTTTGATGCGTCTACCTAGTACAGTGTACAGACAGACAAACCCACTTTTAATGGCTTTGCTTTTTTATGGGTGTGCATCCCACTTCCACTTGCACTTCCTTCCTAGCTTTATGTGTCCCATTCGTTCAAAACCTTGTCCTCCTCACCCTCATGTCTCCTAAATACTTACCACCCTCAAAATATGCAAACACCACGTCAGATGCACGTGCCCTCCAATTACTGCCACGTAATCATAAAGAGGTATTTTTAACAATGTAATTATTTCAAAATAATGGTGAGAGTGTTTGTGCCCTCACAATTTTAGACACAATATACAAAATTGGCACTAATTCAATAAGAAATTGGAGGATTTGAATTTAATCTTTTGGTCTGATAATAGAGCGTAAAAGAGATGGAAAAGTAGGAGGAATACACTTTATTTCTTCTAAGGAAAGAAAATAGAAATAATATATTTTCTTTCTTTTGTGTTTGATAAAATAATTTTTTTTTAATTTTTAATTTTTGAAAAAAATATAAATACATATTTTATTATTGTATGTATATATAAAATTAATGTATATGTCAAAAGACATGTAGATAAATAAGATGCATTTTAATACAAATAATTAACTTTTTATTCACTTTCTTTCTAATTTTAAAAGAATTGATTTTGATGAATTGAAAGAAAAGTCAATTTATCCACTTTTTATTTTTTATTTATTAAATATGATGTTTTATCTATCTCTTAAACTTTCTATTCTTCTATTTTTTTATCGTACTAAACGGAGAATTAAGGTATCAAATGATATAACTATTGAATTCGTTAGACCAATCAAATAAATAATTTATAAACTCAATTAAATATAACATGAACTCATTAAGTAGGTTTCACCTAACATTATGAATGCATTGAATTAAGTCTGTAAATTAAGTTCATGTTAAATTATTCATTTATAATTAATGACTAAAAATAATTTAAAAAATATACAATTAAAAACGTTCTTATTGATTAAAAAGTGGAGCTCCAATCCGAACCGGACAAGATTACCGATGATTTCCATGAAAATGACCAGTCACCTGCTATAGCCGGTGGCATTTTTACTGACTTTGAATCGACGGCTGTGATTGCCCCCCAGTTTCTTCCTGCAGCTTTGACAGCAAATGAGCACTTATTAGTTCTTCCATACTTTCCGCACCTCTGACCTCTCTCTCTCTCTCTGTCTGTCTGTGGAAAAACTCTCCTAGGGCTTCTTGAGGTATGATGCTTCTTGTCATCTTTGTCTCGTATGTTCTTCTGTGTAAATATAGTTTGGCAGCAGTCTATGGTCATTTCCAGGTGTTCTTGAAGTAATTTTGGTAGCTGAACTTCATGTCAAGTTGATACTGATGCTTTCATAATTATAATGCAGAAATTATTTCTCAATTGATAGCCCTTTTGGCTATATGTTCAGTATATACTGCTAGTTTAGTCTGTTAAACCTGAGAAGTTTTAATCCTGTTGGCCTAGTATTAGAGCTGTTGTTAAATACTTCCATGGGCTCAAAGGGGTTTATAGGGCAAAATACATGAATTTGATTACTTAAAAAGCTTGATATTTATTTTTTGTGCACAGGACTATCATAGCAATATAGCTGCAATTAAAATTTGAGGTTGTTGAGGTGAAGTTTCTACTGGATTTTTGTCCAGTAGAAAATAATGGATCCACGACTTGGTGGAATTTCTGCTTCTACAAATGCAACCCAATTGGGGAATCAATCTGTGTCCCTTTTTCCAGATCAGAAACTAGTTAGTGGACCTAGATTTGAAACTATTTTTTGGGATCGGAGACTAATTGATGGATCTAGATTTGAAAATACTTTTCCAGTTCACAATTTGGGACGAATTCAATCTCTTCCGTATAATCCACCTTTGAGTAATTCTGTTCCAAATTTGAGTATAAGTGGCGAGGAAGAAGACTGTGATTTGTCGGATGCAGTTTTGGGATATATAAGCCAGATGCTTATGGAAGAAGACATGGAAGATAAGACATGTATGCTTCAAGAGTCTTTGGATCTCCAAGCTAAAGAGAAGTCATTCTATGAGGTTCTTGGCAAGAAGTACCCACCTTCACCCGAACCACACCTGACTTATGTTGATCAGAATTGTGAGAACCCAGACGATTATTTCTCTGGACATCACAACAATTACATTTGTAGCAGTAGTAATGGTGGTGATTACTTAGTTGATCGTAGCTTAATTGATTTGAGCTGGAACAACTCTCCAGCTGAGTGCAATAACTCTCAATTTCAAAGTCTTCTTGCATATACTTCTTCCTACTCATCTGCTAGCTCATCAAATAGCTTAAACAATATTGGGTTTTTGGATTCTCCTATAAGTCCCCTTCAGGTTTCTGATTTATATAATGAGAGCCGATCTATTGGGCAGTTCAGAAGAGGGGTCGAAGAAGCAAAGAAATTCCTTCCACATGGCAATGGATTGTTACCTCTGGAGCTGAGGGGAAAAACTAGTGAAATGGTGGTCAAGGTGGAGCAAAAAGACGAGGGAGAGTACTCACCAACTAGGCGGAGGAGTAGGAAGAATCCTCAAAGGGAGAATATAGGATTAGAAGAAGAGAGAAGTAGCAAGCTGGCAGCTGTTTATGAAGAATCCACTGTTCGGTCAGATGAGTTTGATTTAGTCTTGCTTTGTAGTATGGGTGAAGGTGAGGCAGCCTTAACAGCATATCGCAAAAGCTTGCAGGATAAAACAAACAAGAATATGCAGGAGAATGGACAGCCAAAAGGATCCAGTGGAGGAAAAGGTCGTGGTAAGAGGCAAAACAGGAAAATGGAGGTAGTGGATTTGAGAACTCTCCTGGTTCATTGTGCACAGGCTGTAGCTGCTGATGATTGTAGGACAGCAAATGAACTGTTAAAAGAGATCAGGCAGCATTCTTCTCCTATTGGTGATGGGAATCAAAGATTGGCTCATTGCTTTGCCAATGGTCTTGAGGCACGCTTGGCTGGCACTGGTAGTCAGATTTATAAAGCTCTTGTTAGTAAGAGAGCATCGGCTGCTGATTACTTGAAAGCTCACCACCTGTACCTCGCGTCGTGCCCATTCAGGAAGATTTCACACATGGCCTCAAACAGGACAATAATGTCAAAAGTGGAGAATGCGATGAGGGTCCATATCATAGATTTTGGTATCCTCTATGGTTTCCAGTGGCCCACCCTTATTCAACGCATTTCATCAAGAGAGGGTGGGCCTCCAAAACTTCGCATTACTGGGATAGAATTTCCGCAACCTGGATTCCGCCCAGCAGAGCGAATTGAGGAGACAGGACGTCGCTTAGCAGCTTATGCCCAGAGTTTCAAAGTGCCTTTTGAGTACAATGCTATAGCGAAGAGATGGGAGTACATCAAACTTGAGGATCTTAAGATTGACAAGGATGAGTTTCTTGTCGTCAACTGTTTGTATCGATCTAAAAACTTACATGATGAGACTGTTGACAGTTCAAGAAATAATGTTATCAACCTGATAAGGAAGATTAATCCAGACATATTCATCCATGGTATTGTCAATGGAGCCTTCAGTGCCCCATTCTTTGTCACTCGGTTCCGGGAGGCTCTGTTCCACTTCTCCGCACTCTTTGATATGCTTGAAACAAACGTACCCCGTGAGCATGATGAAAGGATGCTCATTGAGAGAGAAATCTTTGGTAGGGAAGCGTTGAATGTTATAGCTTGTGAGGGCTGGGAGAGAGTTGAGCGGCCAGAGACATACAAGCAGTGGCAAGTCCGTCATCTGAGGGCAGGCTTCACGCAAATTCCTTTTGACAGGGAGATCATGGAACTAGCAACTTATAAAGTAAGGTCAAGCTACCACAAGGATTTTGTGATTGATGTAGACGGCCAGTGGATGTTGCAGGGATGGAAAGGGCGGATAATTTATGCCCTTTCTTGTTGGAAACCTGTATAGGGACTTGAGGGATTGTACGATTCACCTCTGGATTCTTACATAGTTGCATCTACAATTAACTATTCAAAGGTAACTACCCTCCATTCAATTAACCCCCTCTTCCTTTTCAGTTATGTTCCTTTGCTTTGTTTACTCATTACTTCATAACCACATTATTTCAGTTTTTGGTCTAGTTGCTTTACTTCTTTTACTCCCAATGACAGGATTTTACTGATCCAACAGGTAGATAGCTGATTTTGATGGTGAACTACTTCTGGATACGGTTGATAATTTGGTGAATGCTTATTCATTTGATAATGTGGTAAGGTAAGTACTGTGACATGCATATGATGATGATTAAAATCTAACATATACAGAAGGAAGCTGCACTAACACAACCCAATGCGAGTTATGAGAGCCATTTTTGCTGCAGCAGTTGTTGTTGCTGTTTAAGGCTTCTCTCTCCATGTTTAGATGTGTCTGTGCTTGGGAGCCCACCATCCTTCTTTTTCTGGGTGTTCTGAGTTGTGTAATTCTGATGACAATGTAAAACATTACACACATGAAAAGGGTTCGAGTTACAGGGAGTTTCTATGTGTTTGTTGTTTCTCTTTACCTTGCGGTCTTGTTTAACTGCTGCATGAAAGGAGCAGTACTGTTTGTGGGCGATTGGGTGCCCATTCCGGTGCAAACTCCTTATGTTTCTGAGTTTCATCTCATTACTTTTGTGCTGCAAGCCTGCATACATGTTCTTTGATAATGCCCTGGTGTGAAGAGTAGAAGGAATGGATGCTTGAATGGAAACCCACAATATGACCTGTGTAAAATTGATTGTGAAATGTTAACGAGTCCACAACTTCTGGGCCATTCAAACAGCATGTTAAGGATTTTTATTTCTAAATTGTCGGGACGGAATAGAAGTTCTACTTGAGAAAATTTTCATGTTCAAAAGAAGATGTCTCTTCTTATTCATTCTATTGATGCATCAACAAAGCTGCCAAAATTAGGTTAACGAGAAGCAAGTTTCAGCAGCTTTATTATACAATCCTATGGTAGTAATTGGGTTTAGAGTAGGCTTTGCAATCTTGTTGAGTGGAATAGTTTTGTGTCAAGTAGAGTGGGTTTGTGTCAAAAAACTCTTCATCTATATTCCATTCGTTTATATAAACGAGTCTAATTATAACACCTATATACGAATCGTTTATTAGACGGATTATTTGATACAATTCACGTGTCACCCGTTACATAAGATAATATGTTAGAGTATTTTGAATCGACATGAAAAATCATTAACTCGTCACACATTATACATGTTTAACTTATTTATTATAACAATAAATCATGGAGGAGTAAAAAAATAAAGCCAAAAAATAAACATTAACGACTACTAAATTTGAATGAGTTTGAGAGATGAGAGGTGTGAAATGAGGTTGAGGTTGAGAGACCTAATTTTTTTAAACAAGATTTATAATACCACTACTAAACCGATTAAACGGGTTAAAACGAGTTTATGAGTTAATCACGAAACCAGTTTATTTTTTTTACAGGTCTCTCGAGTTAATTCGTTAACCACTCAAACCCATTAAGACTATACTCAAACCCGTTAAATTCTTATCAAGTTCGTGTCAATTTCACAAATTATGTTTAGAATTATCAGGCTTAGCTTAGAGTGTGCTTTTAGCTTGAGTTATTACATTGTGCTGTCATGGCATTTTTTCAATTCTTTTTTTTGATATGGTACCTATGTAATTAACCGAGGTTTGACTTAAAGGCAAAGGTGTGGTTATGAAGTTTAAATGGCATTTTGAAACCCCAGAGAGAGAGAGAGATTAGAAACACATCAAATGTCCATTGATAATGATAGAGAGGGAGAAGCTAAAATATGGAAAAAAAAATACAACTTTGAATGACCAATGATAAATCTTAAACGTGCAAAGCAACTCTCAATTGGGCAACAATCCGGTGCAGTATTGTATTTGTATAGTGCAATTTGTTTAAACCATGTTGTTTTACACATTAAAAAAACTTTCATATTATGTGCAAAATAATATAATTTAGAAGAATTAGTAATTGTCTGTGGCAAAAGACACAATGTTACTCATAAATTACTTATAAATATTTGTTCATACATAAATGTAAAATAAAATACAACATTGAAGTAAACGACGAACAAAATGAGTCCGCCAATATTTTTTATAACATTAATCTACATGCAAAATTATGTTAATCGTTACGCCACAAAATTATGTTATAACTAGTGAAACATAATAATTCAAACATTTAAAAAATTATATCAGCTGACAATATTCAATGTTCTGTTTTTAATTTAAAATCCACGATTTTAACATTTATAATTAACTTTATCTAAATAATAACAGAATTCATAACTAATAGAACAAAAATTAAAACAATACTCCCACATATAAATTAAGTCTGCAGATGTTGTCAAATGACCAAATGTAACTATCAAAAATTCAACCGACTTTCAAAAGATACAACCTAACTATTAAATTTGTATGATTTGAGTTTATAATAGTGCTTTTAATTTTATATCATTCTTTTTGATTATTTATATTTTTAGTATATTTTCTTAAACTAAACGTTATTTAGTATTTGATTATTTGGTATAGATTGTTGCTTCGTGTTGTTCACTAAGTATTAAATTTGTATGATTCATGTTCATAGTATTTCTTATAATCTTGTATTGTTTCTCTCGCTTGTAATTTTGTATCATTTTTCTCGGATATTTAGATTTGAATTATTTAGTAAATATTGGTGTTTTGTGTTGTTCATTAAAAATTGAATTTATATGATTCATGTGTTGTATACGAATTTAATCTTGTATATTTTAAATTTTAAGTATATTTTCTTTAATATATTTCTTGATATTTGAGTTGCTCAATAACTTAAATTTAATCTTGTATATTTTATGTTAATCATATTTTCTTTGTTAAATTAGATTTTTTTACAAGTTATGCTTTTTTTTATTAATTATGGAAAAAATAAAATTGACTATTGAATTTGTATGATTTGAGTTTATAGTAGTGTTTTTAATTTTATATCATTCTTCTCGGGTATTTATATTCTTAGTATATTTTCTTAAACTAAATGTTATTTAGTATTAGATTATTTAGTAAAGATTGTTGTTTCGTGTTGTTCACTAAATATTGAATTTGTATGATTCGTGTTCATAGTATTACTTATAAATTTATATCGTTTCTCTGCTTGTAATTTTGTATCATTTTTCTTTAGTATTTAAATTTGGATTATTTAGTAAATATTGTTGCTCACTAAATGTTGAATTTGTATGATTCGTGTTTGTATATGAATTTAATCTTGTATGTTTTAAATATTAAGCATATTTTCTTTAATATATCTTTAGATATCTGAGTTGCCTAATAACTTGAATTTAATCTTGTATATTTTACATGTTAAACATATTTTCTTTATTAAATTATATTTTTTACAAGTTATGTTTTTTTTATTGATTATGGAAAAAAATAAAATTGACCATTGAATTTGTATGATTCGTGTTTGTAGTATTGCTTGAATGAAATAGAGAGATACATATGAATATTTTCGTGATATATATTATCTAGTTAATATTTATTACATAATTTTCCTTCAGAGAGATACAAATGAATATTTTCGTAATATACTATCTATTTCTGTGATATATACTATCTATATACAGAGAGATATAGTATTTACGTGAATAAGTTATTCTAATATTTTTGTAAGATATATAAAAAATATTATGAAAAATTGATATTTTTTACGTGAGAGAAAGATACAGAGGAATGAGAGAGAGAGATTTACTTGATTTAAGAAAAAGATTTGAAGGAATTAAATTTTAGAATATCAATTTTTGAAACTGTAAATTTTGAGCAGCAAAAATATTTCAAAAAAGTTAATGTGGTACGTCGGATTAAAACGAACTGAGACGTCAATAGTTTGAGATAACGCAATCCGTTGGATGATGACTTTTTTATTTTCGAAACAATCTGAGCCGTTTTTTGTCTCTAAAATTCAAAATCGTTCTACTTTATTATATAAATAATAAAATAATATTATTTTATGTACAAAATAATATTATTTAAAAGAGCCCTGACCTTGCAGAGTCTTAAGGTGCGTGTGTTTGTATAAACTTTACGGTCTGCACCTTTTAAGGCGTTGATTGTAGTTATCTTCTGTTTAAAAAAAAAACCTGACCCTACAATACTGCAGAGGAGGTGTACTGTACTCCCCTCCATCACCATCTATTTGTTTTGGAATATATTAGGGTATCGGGATCTCGTCTGGAGTATTATTATCGTAGTAGTTGGTAATTAATGATGGCATACATAACGGTTTATCAGTGTTAGCAGGTGGACCGACGACCGTCCGTTTCTCGTTGAGAGGTCCCACTCTCACAACAATAGTTTTTTTTTTTAATGTCTGATAGACACGTGGCCGTACCTGTAATACTTGGTGGACTGCATGCGAAAATAAAATATTGCAATTGTTATGATTAAGATGCACCTTATTTCTCAATTTTATTGGGCTGACGAAGAAAACAGCAAAGATTACAAGTATTCACTAATTTCGAAAAATAAATCGTCGGTGTTAAAGCTTATTAGAATTTGACTCAGCGGTGGACCGGGATATTTTGGAGCCTAGAGTAGAAATAATAAATAATATTTTTTTATTTTTAATATTACTTATAAATTTAATTTTTAATTTTTTTATAAACAAAAATATTAATTCAAATTTTTATTATCATATTTGAACTTAATAATGGTAAGAGAGAGAAAGAATGATTAAAAAATTGTGATGATAAATTTAAACTTAACTTTTTTGGGGATTAAAACTAAATTTTTTGGTACCTTTAATTTTATAATTGCTAAAGTCTAATTGTAAAATAGTATTGATAAACTTTTTTTTCTTCGGTCAACATGGGATTGAAATAAAGAGAAATGATGACTATACACCCTTTAATTCAAATAGTGCCAAAAAACATAACTTTTGATGGTGAATGGCTCTTCATATCCTTTTATTATGCACTACACATACATTTTTTTTTAGGTGTGTTAAAATTCAACACGACACGATTAATTGACACGAATCGACATGAAATTAAGCTGGTTGGGTGATACTTTAGCGGATTTGGGTAATAAATGGGTTGACACGCTAAATACGTTTAATAAACGGGTTGTGTTCGGGTGAAACCTGTCAAATCGTTTATCACCCGTTTAACCGTTTAAATAAATTTAATATAATAATAAATGAGTAAAAAAAAAAANTGCTAGCCCAATAGATAACGACCTTAGTTATTTTTATTCAGCAACAACAGAAAGGACGAAGACCCCTAAATCCATGGTGGGTGGAAGAGGAGGAAGAAATTCTAGTGGACAATGATGACAAACCTTTCGCTGGGTTAGGCGAGCCGCTATGCCATAAATNGTTAAAATTCAACACGACACGATTAATTGACACGAATCGACATGAAATTAAGCTGGTTGGGTGATACTTTAGCGGATTTGGGTAATAAATGGGTTGACACGCTAAATACGTTTAATAAACGGGTTGTGTTCGGGTGAAACCTGTCAAATCGTTTATCACCCGTTTAACCGTTTAAATAAATTTAATATAATAATAAATGAGTAAAAAAAAAAAAGTAAAAAAACATTTCAAAAAAAAGTAAAGAAATCAATTCAAAAAAAAAAAAAAAGAAACAAAAGCTTTAAACCGTTGAAGCATTGATCTGCTTTTTCTTTGAATCCCATGTTGGCAGGGGGAGTGGAGAGAAGGTATTTAATTGCTTATAAAAAAAGGTAGTGGCTCTTGGCTTAACAGGCGGACTGTGGTGTGGCTTAACATGGCTGGACATTGTGGTGTGGTTTGTCACGTGGCTGACCATTGCTGGCTGTTACTCCTTTAATTGAGGAAAGTATGGCTGGGAAAAAAAATTTAGAGTGTAAAAATTAATTAAAATAATATTTTTTTTGGTTATTTTTAAATGAGTTAAATAAGTCGTGTCGTGTTTGTGTTGAAATTTTTTATCTGTTTATTAAACTTGTCGTGTATAAATTCACATATTTTTTATCCGTCACCCATTTAATCCAATACGTTTGACACCTCTAATCCTTCCCAACAAACAGGTCAAAATATGCCCCCGAGCAATCTGCCCTCACCAAGGAAATATTTGAGTCACAAAGTGTAAGGGGACCACATTTTCGATTGACCTACCAAACAACCTCTAATCAATGTGACTTTTTTGTCTAAATTCGCAGTGAACTTGGAGAAAATTTCTCACGTGCGCATCATGTGAGTTTGGGATTAAAGTATAGTTTAGGGGTCACGTATTCAATTTAACGTCGAATTTGGACGGAAAGACCATATTGATACAAATGTCATAGTTTAGGAGTTTGATTGACATAAATGATATAGTTCAGCGACTAAATAGATAGTTGACTCAAACATCAATTTAGCTTAAATATTATTTTGAGGACTGAAGTGAAACTATTTCTAGGGATATTGAATACAAACAAGGACAAATCTGTAGTTCAACCCATAGTAATCCAATTTGTACCTGAAGGGAGAGCTATAAATCCAAGCTTCATTGTCAAATAGCTGTTCAAGGGGAGTAGAGGTTCCAAACATCCTCTATTTTACTAATGGTAGATTGAATTTGATATGAGTTTGCTAGAATTTTATCAGAGAACACCAACAGAGAAATGCCTTAGTATACTGTATATCCAATTGATGTGTAATTGGGAAATGGATTTCACAACTGGAAAGATCAAGGAACAGTGTTAAGTATCCCGGCTGTACCATTAAAAATGCTACGGAAATATACACACCTGAAGCCTGCATGCATATATATAGATGCTCCATTCATCTCAAGTCCCTCAACATACTTTCAAAATTGGTATTCAGGAACCAAACAAATTAAAAATATCTATGCAATGATATTAAGAAAAAGCAACAGCCATGAATTTAAGTAAACTATCTTGCATCTGCGCACAATTTACTACAAAAATAATATTAACAACATATAAAATGTTTACAAGGAAGATCAACAAATAAGTCCTTAACAACCATGAAACCATAAAAACTAACTTTCACACTGGCTTCTTTCTAGTACGTTTGAAATTTCTCATTGCTTTGGTGGATCTGGTTCATCAAACCATCTTGGGGGATCAAATCCGGAACCACCTGAAGAATATAATCCACTGCAAGTTTTATAGACACGAGTTGTGTAGAACAAGCAAAAAATGTGACTTTCAAACTAATAGAACATCTCAGAAGCAGCCAATATAATATGAAAGATTCTATGAAGCCAAAACTCTGGGGCTGCTTTTTTTGGGCTTCCAAAGTCTTTCCAGTGGAAGTTTCCAATTCCTGAACTTATCTAACTGCAGTGGATAAGAGGAACAAAGAACACAAGCAGATGAGAAGAACAAAGAACTGTATCAATGGCTTTCTTCTCCAATGATGAAAGACATTTCTTTAATATGTATGTATAGTTGAAAATGAATGAGGACCAATCCTCAGTAGGAAATTGAGTGATATCAGGCATATTACATGAGCTAGTTTCTATAAACTGGAAGTCAATTGCTACAGACTAGGAAGGTAATATTCTATGCCAAGAAGGAAATATCCTACGCCACCAATTGCACCAATACTTCCCCTCAAGGTGGAGCGTGTGCATGAGTAACAACCAGCTTGCTATTGAGATGATTGAAAGGTTCCTTGCCCAACGGTTTGGTGATGGCATCTCAATTTGCTGAGAGGATCGGATGTATTGAGGAATAATCAGCTTGGACTGAATTTTTTCCCGAACGAAGTGACAATCAAGCTCAATATACTTTGTTCGCTCATGGAATACGGATTTTCCGCAATGTGAATAGCAGCTTGGTTATTGCGGTAGATAGTGACAGGAGAGGGATGAGGAACACCCAGATTGGTAAACAAATATTTTAACCTCTGGGAGTAGTTATGGCACTGTACTCCGCTTCAGCAGAGGACCTAGAGAGAATGTTTTCTTTCTTGGTTTTCCATGAGATGGGGATGTAACCTAGCATGGTACAATAACCAGCACTAGATCCTTCCTTTCCGAGGACTCTCTATGAGATATAGAAGCACTCTTATAGCAGCAGTCATATGGTTGGTATGAGAGGAGTGCATAAATTGACTTAATATGTGGACCGGATAGGCAATGTCAGGCCACCTAACAGTGAGATAAATAAGACGAACCACAAGCCAACAATAAGTAGAAGGATCAGCCAAGGAGTCCCATCATCAAGTGTTAAATAAGATGTTGATCCATGGGAAAGTCAAAAGGTTTGGCACCATGTAATCTTGTGTCTTTGAGAATATCCAATATATTTTTGCTGGCATAGGAAAATGCCTTGGCTGGACAACTTCAATACCAAGAAAATACTTCGTGAGACCAAGATCCTTGAGGAAGAATTTATTGGCAATAAAGGTTTTGAGATGTTAGCTAGCAGTGTCATCATTTCTAGTGAAAATTATATTATAAATGTAAACAAGAACAAATGTAGAAGAATGTCCAATATGTTGCATGAACAGTGAGTAATCAACCTTGGATTGAGAAAAAACGGCTTGTTGAAGAGTACGGGAGAACTTGGCAAACCATTGGCAGGAGGCCTGTTTTAACCCACGGAATGATTTGTTTAATTTGCAAACATGGGCTTTCCCTTTTTGAACGAACCCGGGTGGAAGTGTCATGTAAACCTCTTCATGTAAATCACCATGTAGAATTGCCTTGTTGACATCAAGTTGGTGATGACACCAATTCTTGATGGAGGCAATAGAGAGAAGAGCTCTAACTGTAACAAGTTTAACGACCAATGAAAAATATCATAACAGTCAACCTTTTGCGACCAAATGGGCTTTGTGCCTGTTAACTATGCCATTTGACCAATATTTAACTTTGTAAACCCACTTCCACCCAATGGGTCTTTTGTTGGGTGGGAGATGAGTGAGGCTCCAAGTATGATTCTTTTCAAGAGCGCTATTTCAACATTCATAGCATCATGCCAATGAGGAATTTTCACTGATAGAGAAAAGAACTTGGGATTATCTGTGGAAGAAATTGTAGAAAATAAAAAGCTCCATGTGCATTGGAAAAATTAGAATAGAAAATATATCGTTGGAGTGTACCATTGGTGACTGCAGCACAATAATAGTCATTGAGGTATGGTGGTGGGCGATGTTCAACAATTGAACGAATAGGAAGAGATGGTATAGCTGATGTATTTGAAGGAGGAATAGGTGGAGTAGGTGGATTTGATTGATTCAAGGTTGGTTCAATGGAAATGTTTGGGGGGCCCACTGGTGTAGGATTTTTAGAAGCAAAGTTGTAGTGTGGACTCTCATCAACAGGCAATGGAATGAAAAGTAGAGGTTTTGGTGATGAAGGAACATCCCGAAAAGGAAAAATGGTTTCAAGAAAAATAACATCTCTGGAGATATAAATGGATTTGATAGCAATGCCATAGATGCGATATCCATTTTGAGCATAAGGATAACCAACAAAAATGCCCGACTTTGCACGTTGATCAAGTTTATGCTTAATGTGAGCATTATGAGCAAAAACCAAGCAACCAAAAACACGAAGGTGTGAATAGATGATGAGAAGACCGCTCTGACACCACGATAAGAACACAGCTCTCATACCATGATAAGAAGAACAAAGAACACAATGTGATGACAAGAACAGAGAATTGTATGAAAAGCTTTCTTCCCCAATGAATAAAGACATTTCTTCGAACTTGTATATATAGCTGTTCAGTGGAAATGACTAAGGACCAATCCTCAGTAGGAAATTGAGTATCAGATTACATGACCTAGTTCCTAGAAACTGGAAGTCAAATTGCTACAGATTAGGAAGGAAATATCCTATGCCACCAATTACGCCAATAGTAAGCAACAGAGAAACTCGAGTAGTAACATTTCCCAATCAAAAGAGGCTTAAAAAAACCATTAAATCCTGATCATTTGATATACTATAAGAGCAAACATAAGTGGTAGTATTACCGAGGGGATTGCAACGACAGAGACGCCAACCAGTCAGGATGGTCCCTTTAAGAACTCCGTATTTCCTGTAAGCAATCATTGAATACTCGCTACATGTTGGAACATAACGACAACTATTTGGTAACAATGGCGAAATTTCACCTGCTCAATTGTCAATTATAAAATCCCAAAAAGCAATTTAGCTCTTATTATCAATTTTGTTAATAAATCAAAACAGAAGCTTGAGATATATAACAATAAACAAAATACACCAGCTTGAGAACTCACTTTTGTAGAACCTCAGGATAGATAATGCAGCTTTAACCCCTAAATTATTCACATCTTCATCTGATTCAAGATAAACCCCAAAAAATATTGAAATGAATCCACTTACATCATACACATGTATATAGACATATCAAGGGTGTATACAGAGGCGGAGCCAGAGTCTCCTTTCAGTGGGGGCAACCATCAAGTTAAAGAGAACGACTACACAATAATTATCAAAATTCATTGCATTTAGTGAACATGATTATTTTCTCAAAATTTCATTCTCAATAAAAAAATATTCCTAATCTAACAACTTTTATAAAATAATTTATATATATATATATATTTTTTTACTTTCAAAGATTTCACATATAAATACATGTGAAAAAAGTGATAGGACTTAATTAAGAAAAACTAATATAATTTTTTTTCATATAAAGTACTAGAATAAAGAGAGTTTTCATAGAGAACGTAATATCGATTTTGAATCTAATTTAATTACTCGACTGATTTCATTTTTATAATTTATATTCGAATCTATTAAATATTATGAATTTTATCAAAAATCTAATCTAATATATATATGTTTATCGCATTGCAATTTTAATTCAATTTCATCCCTTAGTTTCATTAAATGTTTAAATATACATATTTGTGTATGCATATCAAATTGAATCGAAGTGAATTGATTCATAATCAGATAAAAAAAATTTATGTCCAAATAAAAAATCTTAGAATATGATGTAGTATATTCAAACTTAAGTGAGTCATTATATATGGAATAGAGATAATTAGAGACTAAAGAAAAAATTGTGAGATTAAGTCTGTACGAGCAAACTTTCAGTATAAGTTTTTAGTTCATTTGGTTCAACAAAAATAAAGTTTTTAGTGGCAAGTTAATAGAAAATTTAATTTTTATTATAATTTTAAACTAACCCTAAAAGTTTTCAAAATTTTAGTTGGAGCAATTGCCCCCACCCTGCCTCCGCCCCTACAGTGTATATAGACTAACCTGTTGAGTTGCTCTGTGCAGAATCTTTATCCAACCTGTTCACCATTGGGAAGAGCCGCCGACACCGACGATTCATCTACAAAATGGAAAACATAACCATCAAATGAATCGGGAAAAAGTGTTCTATGAATCAGAATGTATTTTGGTGTGTGCGTGTGAGTGTGTGTGTGTGTGTGAGAGAGAGAGAGAGAGAGAGAGAGAGAGAGAGAGAGAGAGAGAGAGAGGGAGAAATTCAAGAGTTGGGTGTTGTGAAGGGGGAAGTACCGTAGTGAAGGAGGAGCAGAACAAGGGCTTATGCTTAAGATTAGTGGAGAATTGTCGAGAATTGAAATTAGGGCTTGAAAGAGAGAGGGGTTTATGGTGGAGGCCGTTATTAACTGAAAAAACTAGCGCCATTTTTGATCCAAACTTGTTGAGGCAAATGAAATTATAATTACAAGTCCTTTTATTGATCAGGTGAGTGAAAGTACAGCAACCTACTGTGTATGAGCACACGTGGTGGCGATAAATGGAAGGTTTATTAACTTTTTATAAGATGAAGCAACTTGACTCGATTTTGTTCCAATTTCATTTTTCGACTCCTACTAATATTATTTGTGTTCTCCGCTTGATTTCTTAGTTATTATGTTTCCAGCCCAATCCATTTTGTCAACGGATCGGATATGAACTAGATTCAACTTTAAATTCGAATCTGACTATTCAATAGATCTAAAAAATTTAATTCATACTGAATTCATTAATTTTCGGATATTTATGTACAAAATAAAATCAATCTACAAAATATCTTATAAATTGTAACAAATTCAAATCCATAGAACGGAAAAAATTATAATGTTTACTCAATTGAAGCCTTAACAAGCAATATAAACTAAATATATCAACCTTAATTTTAGTTATAAATAGGAAAGAACAAGACAATAGAAATAAAATGTGGAAAATGGTAAGATGTTGGTAGATAGAAACTCAAAAGATATAAAATATAAAAATAGAAGACATATATACAATTCAAATCAGATTCGATATATCCAAATTCGAATTCATTAAATATAACATAATAGATTCAGACTCGAATTTGAATTTGCATTCAGATAATTGGTAAACATTATTAATCTATACCTGTATCGAATTAAAATCTAATCTATTGAGAGGCTTACTCAAGAATTTGGTTTGGAGGCAATCACCATGATTATTTTATTTTATTTTATTTTTGTCAAGGAGGGAAGAGAAGGGAATGATAATGTTTGAACCCACAATTTTAAGGCTTAATGGCAAAAGATAGCGTCTATATCACAATGAAATATTACCGTTGTACCATTGCCTTTCCTCGGTTTGGCATATAATAAAATTTGGTTTTTATGGTGTCTGAATATTGTACAGAATATAAACTGAATCAACAAATGAACGCTAGAATTGGAACTCCTTGCTTGGTCTACCCACCTGAACAATTTAAGAATATTATGAAAGAAGTGTTTCAAGCTTGTTTCTGATTGAGCCCTTCGTTCTCAGGACTGCCATTTCATTTTTTTTTCCTTACTGATCCCATGAAAGATTTGAACACACCCCAACAGTCAAACAATTTAGGGAAATTAGACATGGTGATCCCATCGAAAAGCTACCACTAACAACTTAAAACTTTACAACACAATGCATTACAACTACTTTGCAAATTACACACAAAAATTTGAATGTGCCCCTAGCTTGATTCGTAAGATTATGGTAGTTGTACCAGAGATCTAGGATTGTATCCTGCCTTCATCTAGATTGGTGAAAGCTAACGGAAGAAAGACATTTCCGGCTGGGGTTTGAGCGCGTGTGCGAATTGAAGGTTGGTGGAAGGTAAAAAGAAGACAAATATCTTGGCATAACTGGCTTGCGCTGAAAGAACCACCCAATTAAGGACAGTTCCACAGCAATGGGGAACGAAAAGCGCATCACAGATTGAAACTGATGCCTAGTCCCAGGGCCAACTTGTAATCTGAGTAGATAGATGTGGGCGATTTTGATGGATCCTCGTTCTCAACTTTGCGACCAGTCTGAGTTGCTCCATGACCATCCCACAACAGAACCGCATTCAGATTATGAGATTCTAAGTTTAAAATGCAGCTTACACTTGTGATTGATAAAGCAACAATAGTCAACATCTCTGCTACCTATCTGTACTGCTGCATCTAGATGCATAAGCCAGTTCGATACGCATATGGTCGGTAATCTGTGTCACAAGAGGATTGTAGCCTGAATTGACTAGTATATAAAACAACAAACAGATAAGTCACATCACAACAAAGCAGGGGGAAAGGAAGGAAAGGTGCTCACCTATGGTGAGCTCTGGCATAGATGAAGCAAAGAGGATTGCATTTCATATCCAGTGTAACAAACCCAATAATAGAAACCTTCACAGGTACCTAACTGAAATGTGCCCACATCAGATATACCCTTGCTATATTGTATTGATTATATCAAGGGGAATTTGGTTATTCATCATACATGAGGATCCCTGCTAAGCTTCCACAACTGAATGGTTAAAACAGCCAACTCATAATTGGCAAATTTGTTGGTTCAATTCCTATTGGATGCATGCCATTAGGACCTTCATATAAGTCTACTGGAATTGATTTTTTTTTTCGCTAAAGGGTGTCTAGACTTGCACCGACTACTCCCTCGAATTTAGTGGTTGGCCAAAGTGGCTTGATCTGGTCTAGCATGTCCCAAAGGGACAACGTAGCTAGCCCTTATGGGGTGTGAGAAGAGATTGAACCTGAGACCTCTGGGTTACTATAGGATAGACCCAACTATTGGACCACCACTAAGGATTTACCGGAATTGGTTTTCTTATCAATGGAATTTGATCATCCATACATAGCAAATTGGAGTTGTATACATGGCCTTGACTCTCGAGTTCTAGTATCAATAAGATTGTTAGTTCCTACCTGCTTATATCACAATATACTATTGAAACCTATAATCATCAATTATCGATAGACAAAAGTTGTTCTACGTAAACTGTCAAGTATACGATTTATATACATAGTATAATATATTCAAAAACTTTACCATTAAAAAATTATATATTTTTTGCAAGTTTGAACTGACATTTCACTGCATTCAAGGAAGATGCAGAACCCAAAATAACCTTGATTACAGTTCTATTTCTCAGACCAGGATAAGAGTTTAAATCCTAAAAGAATATGTGCGGTGGAAAAATGAGCTAAAATAAAAATTTTCTACCATCACCAGCAAAAGAAATTAAGAGATCCTTGTTGCAGCATGGAGAGACATTCTTTAGAGTGAAAGGGACAGCTTCAGAAGAGAATCACTTGCCAAAACAATAGAGTTTCTCAAGAGAAAGGATTTGGATCTTAAGAAGAATCAAGATTGTACGATTCCACAACAATGAGCTGCTTAGGAAAGGTTCAAACAGGGAGATGAATGAATAAACCACCCC